ATATAGAGAGAGAGAGAGAGAGAGAGAGAGAGAGACAGAGAGAGAGAGAGAGTAATCCTCCTGTCTCATCCTCCCCAGTGCTGGGATTATAGACTTGTGTCACCATCCCTAGTTTTGGTGGCTGCCTTAGCGTACCCAGGGTTCCACGGCTGGCAGAGCCTGTGGTACCAGGGATCAAACCCAGGTCCTTGTGCTTGCCAGGCAGGTGCTTAGACCACTGAGCTATCTCCTCAGCCCACGTTTTTCCTTTTCCTTCTGCCATTAATGCTATAATGTCCTTAAAGATTGGCAAAACAGAGCAGTTTGCCTGATTATGAGCTCTGTGTTTTGAGCCTGTCAGGACATATAATAGCCCATGTTCTGTGCCTCCAGCCCTTCATTCCAGTGGGAACCACATCTTTGTTTCTTCTACCCATAGCTGTCTGGATCAGGAGACTTGGTAGACCGCACTCACATCTACTATGAGGACAGAGCCTGTGTCTTCACTGGGAGCCAAGGAGTGGAAAGCTGTACCATATCTGAAGACTTTTGTTTGGGGTCAGCAGAGTAGCAGTGCAAACCAGTAAGTGCTGAGGGAAGTGAGGAAAGATGAGAGACTGCAATCAGGATTGCTTTCTCCTCATCAGGGCCATCCTGAAACTTGGGCAGCTGAATGGGAGCATATAGTTGTGTAAAAATTCACCAATAAGGCCAATCCCTTTCTATTTTTTTAAATTAATGTTACTGAGAAATAGCAATGAGACAGTTTCAAAACCAATTAGTGAGACAGTTTCAATAACTAATACATTGCATATTGTTGTCCTTGTAGTAGTTATTCATAGTTCAAGATGCAGACATGCTATCCTGCCCAAACACTAGTAGTACAAATCTTTCTTCTTATTGAATTAAGAGAAAGTAGCTGTATATCTATCCTAACTATTTTGTATATACAGATACAAAAATGGTCCTTCATTTGTATCCCTTTTTGTTGTTGTTGTTGTTTAGTTTTGTCAAGGATGGGGTATTCCCTTAAGGCCCATCCTTTTCTGTGAACTTCTCTTTGGAAAGGTTCTTGAAAATCTCAGTATGTGGTCGCTGCTGTATCAGCTACGAGAGGGTTGGCTGTGTTCGTAGGCAGTGTTCGCAGAAAGGGGAGGTGCTGTTATCCCGGCCGGATCACTGTTTTCTCTACTCCAGAACATCCTTGCAACTATCCATAGCCTCTTGGAATTTTGTAATCAGCACACTCAATCTCAGAAGGAGACTTTATGTCAGGTCTTTCTCTCCTGCATACCCTGAGAATTGGAATGAGTTTAAAAGAGTTATCTGCAGTTAGGACCTGTGTTCCTCTCCTTAAAAAATTCTGATGGTCATTAAACAGTGAAAGTGTTTAGGGCCCCTTACCCACAGTCTGAAATTTTAATTAATTGCTTTTAGCCCCAGTTATTATTTCTTGAACATAGAGGAGGTTTTTAGGATTTCTTAGCCCATTATTGCATGAGTGAAATTCTAGTCCATACAACTGGAAACAGATAATCAGTGTTCTGCATGAGTTTAATATGTGATAAGTAAAGTCAGGAGAAATAGAATTTAGATAGTTACTAAGAGCAAGAAGAATAATCTTCATGGGCAGAGGAGATGGCTCAGTGGCATAAGCACCTGCCTGGCAAGCACAAGATCCTGAGTTTGATCCCTGGTACCAAAAAAAAAAAAAAAGACAATCTGTACACCACTCAACTAAAGTGATCTGAAATTATTTTTTTCTATTTACGTAACATTGTGCTTAATTTCACCTTATATGAAGTATATGCTGTATATTTTGACAAATATTTTGTCTCCCATATCTGACTCCCCATGTTTGGCAGAGAAGAGAAATAAAAAATAATAGTGTGTACTAAACCATGACTATTCCCTTCCTTTATTCACAAATACGGGCCATAACCAATGTGCCTTCACCACACTTGGTGATTTTCTCTCCACATGGTTATCCTTTTCCGTGACATCCCACAGCACTAAATGCAAGACAAAATAGCACTGTGTGTTTATACATCATGGACATATGGACCCTATAATCTCATTTAATTATACTGGTAGCATCCTATTATTCAATGACCATGGCAGAGATGTCCATGCTTAGAGAGAGGAAAAAAGGGATGGCTGTGGTCTTTTTAGTGGGGAGCTCTAGTCCTTACTTTGAGCATTGTTCACTGGCTCCAGTGCAGATGCCTCAGCCTGTTGGCACAGATCCTTCATCCCACCAGTGCAAACTCTCTAGCCCCCACCACTGACCCTTGGGCCTTTCCAGTGCAGAATCTTTAATACAGACTTTCATGAGACATTGTTGTGTGTTCTAGGTCTTCAGCTGAAGTGGTGCAGGACTTCGGTGTAGGATCCAGGCCTTCAACTGGATTCTCTGAGTGAGTAGTGTGTGGGCAGATTTCTGGCACTCTTCTGCATTTGACTCTTGGGTTAAATATAATAAAATAATCCTATGAATTATGTGTCTTGCATTAAATCTCTTCCTTTATAAACTTTGATTATGACAGTTGCAAATGATATTAAATTATATTTGCAAATTAGAAATCAGTTTTATTGTAAGTAACAATAGGTCATATTAATGAACTGGGTTCTAACAGCTAGGAACTATCAAAAGAAATGATACACTGATCTTGATAGATGTTTATAAGATTGGTTCAACTTAATATCGGTATTTAAAATGTTATCAGTTGAATATATTGATATATAAAACTGAAAAGCACTAGTCTATGTATATAACTATTTCATTTCTTTTCCTTTTCAACAATGTGCATTAATCTTGTGTTGTACGTGGTAGACAAATTTTCCCTTCAGCACTGGGAGTTCCTACAAGTTTCTTTCTTTATGAGCATAATGTATTTATTGAGGGAAAGCTCCTGTCCCAGATAGGGACAGGAGGGAGGCCCCGAGTGGGTTGTCCCCAGGATCTTAGGAGTTTCTGTAAAGGAAAAATACAATTGAACAATTATTGTTGCCATGTTATAATAGATGAAAGTGCCCATTGTGTTTATGCTGTTTCCTGTACAAATACTGAACAGTGCATTTTAGATTAGAAGTATCTTCAGATACTGGGCACCGAAGCTGAGCATGGTATTAAAGCCCTTCACATTCAGTATGAGGATTTGTGATCAGAAAAACAATGAAAGAGCATTTCCAAGATAGATATATGTATCTTCACAACACAAATGTTACTGATATATGGTCTTGAAAAAAGTAGTGGGGAAAATACTAAATAAATCTTTCTTCCTTTAGCTTTGAGTATCAGATACTTCGTCTCAACAATAAGTTACTGAGACACTGGGCTCAAATATTCAGTCCTCCTAGCTCGGCCTCTTAGAGCACTTAAATTAAAGCCACGTGCCACCATGCCTAGCTACATCTTGTTACTTTTTAGTCACTTGCTGGTGCTGTGTACACAAATGCTACATTGGTGATAAATGATATAAGGTGCATTCAAGGAGACAAACTATAAAATTTTGAAGGTCACAAAGGCCAAGGATACAAATTATATGTGAAATATTTCTTAGAAGACAAACTTAGGTTGAGTGAGTACTTACTTGCACGAAAGAGGGAAATCAGAAATCTAAAAATGATGAAAGCATGCTGGGAGATAACAGGCACATAACTATATTTACCAATGGATGGCCATATTAGTGTAGTGTTCAGATGATGCAGGCATAGCTTCTCTGGACTTGTAATAAATGTTCTAAATATAGAGATACTGTACCCTGGTTTTAGAAAAACATGAGTTTTAATGCTCCTTAACTGCCATCATATTTTTTTCTGAAAGAAGACAGGCTGTTATTTATTTTTAATTAAAAGATGAGGCTGTATTTTGCTGTAATCATGGACTTCTTAGGTGTTAATATTTTTGGCTATACCATTAGTGGCTCTAAAGTAGGTAGCTAAGGAAGGATGTGAGTAACACAAAAAATAATAGTGAAAATACTCCAAAGGAAATTGGTTTTATAACATTTGAGAAATATTTCTGAAGGCATATGGACTCCAAATGTGAACAATGTATGTTTAAATATATGAATTCAAACTGCATGCAGAATAAAGTGTACTTGTTTATGTGCTTCTCTTCCATCTTTTTTTCTTTTCAAAAGGTGTCCAAGCAATACAGGAGCAGAAAATCTAACACAGGTCTCAGAATTCCATCTCCTGGCTCTCACAGAGGATCCAGACATGCAGCCCATCCTTTTTGGACTCCTCCTGTCCATGTACCTGGTCACCGTGCTTGGGAACCTGCTTATTATCTTGGCTGTCAGCTGTGACTCCCACCTCCACAGCCCCATGTACTTCTTCCTCTCCAACCTGTCATTAGCTGACATCTGTTTCACCTCTACCACAGTTCCAAAGATGATTGTAGACATCTTAACTCACAGTAGGGCCATTTCCTATTGGGGATGCCTCACACAGATGTATGTTTATATTCTTTTTGGAAGTATGGATGACATGCTTCTTACTGTGATGGCCTATGACCGGTTCGTGGCCATCTGTCACCCACTGCAGTACCCAGTCATTATGAATCCTCGCTTTTGTGGCTTCTTACTTTTGCTATCTTTTCTGTTTAGCCTCTTGGACTCTCAGCTCCACAATTTGATTGTTTTACAATTTACCTACTTCAAGAATGTGGTCATTTCCAATTTTTTCTGTAACCCTGCTCAACTCATTAATCTTAGTTGTTCTGACAACTTCTCCAGTAACATTTTAAAGTATATTGCTGGTGTCCTGTTTGGATTTTTTCCCATCTCAGGGATATTTTTATCTTACTATAAAATTATTTATTCCATTCTGAGAATCCCATCGACTGGTGGGAAGTTCAAAGCCTTCTCGACCTGTGGGTCTCACTTGGCCATTGTTTGTTTATTTTATGGAACAAGCATTGGTGTGTATCTCGGTTCAACTGTATCACAATCTCCCAGAAATTGTTTGTTGGCCTCAGTTATTTATACCTTGGTCACCCCAATGCTAAATCCATTCATCTACAGCCTGAGGAACAGGGACATTAAAAGTAGCCTGAGTCAGCTCTATAGGAAAACTTTAACCTCAGGACGTGAGTTATCTAGCATAAATATAAAGTGAACAAGACAACACAATGAAACATTTGTATGTGTACATTCTGCCTCTGTGATAATATTATTTTTGTATTAGGTGATTTTAAATTCTCACCACATTTTAATCACAAAATAGTAGTAGACAGTGTTTGAGCATGGGAAAAATAGGAAAGAATTGAGAAGTCCTTACTTTTTAACAAGAACAAAGTTTTGTTTGTGAAAACAACCGATTTCTATTTCTTTTTTCTTTCTTTCTTTCTTTCTTTCTTTCTTTCTTTTTTCATTGTTTTTTTTCTGTATTTAGGAGAGGTCGGACTCATAATAATTTTCCTGTTTTCAGCCTCTCAAGCACTGGGATTACAGGCATCTGCCATCACAGCCAATCTCAGTTACCATCTCAGCATGCCCCACAGGCAGGGCTGGCACAGCAGCCCGGGGATCAAACCCCGGCCTCTGCACTCTGCCTAAGTAGGTGCTTTAGTCCACTGAGCTATCAGGCCAGCCCTAGATAAATGATTTCTGTAAGTAGATTTGGGAGCGGGTAGATGTACCAGTGTGAATATAATTAATGTCACTGAGATCTATGATTAAAAATGGTGAAAATAGTCCATTTTTTCAAATTTAAAAATTCACCATAACAGAAATGAAAATAATAAAAATAACAAATCTTAAAAAGAAGCAAATGAAATGAATGTATAATTAAGCTTCCTTTTGATTAGAGGGAAAAAAAAACAAAACGTAGTGAACATTTATTTTCCCTTCTCCCATTGTTAGAAAGTCCTTAGAGTTCATAAGAGACAAATATGTTCAATTTGATAATTGGCTTACTCCATACAGTGAGTCTCCAAGGTCATGTAATCACTCCTCAGTCCATGCCTCCAAACTTGCGTGGTGGCCCCCGCCCAGCCACCATCATACCTCCGCTCTTCCTGCTGTGATTATCTCCCACCCAAAAGTTCCTATAGGATACTGCATGGAAATCTATTCTGAGGACAGAGCATAGGTTTTCACTAGGAAAGAGGTAGAGAAGGGACATTGGATTTTCTATCTCATCATGACCCTGCAGAAAAGTAGCAGAAAGCACTAAATGCTGACAGACAAAGAGGATGGAGGGAGCACTGTCAGGCACACTGAATGTTCATCACCAGGGCAATAGTTCAGTCTGGGTAGGCAAACAGGAGAACACATATGTCCAAAATCTTAGCCATGAGGACAGTAGAATGTAAGTTTATGTTGTGATGGAGGTTCTGGAAATCTCATTCTGGGCTTTGATCTCCTCTCATATTGGTTCTTCTTTTCAAAGATATGCCATGCAGACAATAGAAAGTGGGTCTCAGGGGCCGGTGAGATAACTCAGTGGTCTAAAGCACCTGCTTAGGCAAGCTTAGCAAATGTGCAGGAACCGCGGTAGGATCCCTGGCACCACATGCCAGACCAGCCCTGCCGCTAGGATGGGCTGAGCCGGCCACAACAAAAAAAGAAAAGATAAAAAAAACAAAAGAAAAAAATGGGTCTCTCCAAACAATTTCAAAAGGATTATCAAGGACATTTTGAGAACGAGGATGATAATGACAATAACAACTCCTCAATCATTAATGGATACACTTCTGAGTTCCAAGCATTCTATATAGATTATTTCAACTCATCTACATAGATTTCCCCAAATCATAAATGCATCATTATTTCATTTTATTGAAAAGAAATGAGCATGGCTTTTTTATCCAACATGTGATATGTGCTTAGCCTGACACACTAAAGCCATGTTCTGTTTTCTTTTGATTTGTGTTTTTAGCACTCTTCATTAATTTTTCTTGCCAAAGTCAACTCAAACTCTTTTCTCAGGATTCAGAGTAGTTGTGCATGCCTGTAACCCCAGCAATCCAGAGGTTGATATAGAGGCCAATCTGTCCACCACTCCCACACCGACTGGACTGCCTCTGAGCTAACAAGGTTTCTAACATGAGAATAAGTTCCCCACAGAAGATTTCAGGAATGCGGGAACAGGATCAGTGGTTTTCCTGCAACAGTTTGTAAGAATGCACCCATGAGCCGGGTGTGGTGGTGCACACCTGTAATCCTAGCATTCTAGGAGTCAGAGGCAGGATGATCGCAAGTTTGAGCCCAGCTTAATCTGGCGATTTCAGGAGACACTAAGTCTACAAACAAAAGCCAAACAAGACATGGAAAAAACGAAAAGGAAAAAATAAAGTAAACAGCACTACACAATCAAGCCCTCACTACTTATTTACATCACACAGCACTGCCCACTCCTTCTCTTTTTTTATTTATTTTAATTTTTAAAGAGTACAAAGTAGTACTAAAAGAGAAAACCTACAAGTGATACAGAATTTCACTAAACAAAATAATATGAATTTCACAGTATTAGTTGTATTGCATAGTGTTGTCTTCAAATTAGTTGTTCAAGTTACCAAATCTATGAATGCAAAATCAGAAGAAGAAAGCAAAAAGACATAAGAAAATAATAGAGAAAAAGGAAAAAGTTGAAAAAAAAGACAAAACAAACTAAGCACTAACTGCTCCTTTCCATAAGCCAGCAGAAATCCACAGCACAGTTGTCCAAACCATACTGCTTAAATAAATAGATGTGTCTTTCTCCCACCTCCTCTCCTGTCCTTCTCCTCAACTCAGTAATTCTTTCCTTTTGAACAGGTTTTTTTCCCTTGTCCCAGTATCTACTGTACCCTTCAGATCTTATTTTCTCTTTCAGATTCTCACACTAAGGAGACAATATGATGTTTGCACAACTTCCTACAAACCTCCACTTCTCAATGCCCAAGAAAACCCTTCTTCCTTTTTAGTAACATTTCCAAACGGCAAACACACCAGACAGCCATTTGAAAAAAAATGTGGAATTGCAAAAAATTAGTGGGAAAAATTCATGTTTCCCTTTCCTTCCCTCACTGCCCTCCCTGAAATCTTCGGATGCTGTGGGACCCAGGGCCCAGACCAAGCCCACCCCATTCCAGGCTGTGCACCTGCTTCTGGCAGCTGTGGCAGCGAGGCCTCTTTGCAAGTTCTCAGGAGAGGATGGGGATTTGGAGTGGCAGCGTAGGATCCACAGGCTGTGGGGTTGAGACCTCCCAAGTTCGCCCCCACCATGGTCAATGGGAGCTCCAGGCTCCCAGCCATACTTACTCCAAGGGCCCACAACTGCTGGAGAAACCAGTCACGAAGCTGTTTGAACTGAGCTCATTGATTAGACACACAGAGCCCCTGGGTAGGAGAAAACTCTACTTGAAATCAAAAGATCTGTCCCTATGCTTAAGCCATAGTGCTGGTTGGGAAACAATAAAACAAGATTCATGCATTGTACGTAGATATTACCAATTTATTTTCCACTACTGACAGCTTCTTTCATAAGTTCTTTAACATAGGGCAGCTTGTTATCATTTCAGTGGTTCAGCATTGTCATCTAAGTTGATGTCTAGTTGAGACAATAGAATTAAATTCCAGTTAGACAGACAATGGGTTCTCTGTATGTGGTTAATATGTGCAAAAAATGTAAAATTGGAGCATATAAGTTAGTTATTGTTAACAAGAAGGTTAATCTCTCTGCTCAATTAGACTTTCTTGAGAACTGAAGTTACTGTTTTCCTATACCTGTAACGCTGTATTTTAATTTCCCCATATGTAAGTATGTGCTATGTATTTGGAGAAAAGATGGCTTTCGTTCTTATCCTTCAGAGCTTATATCCTCCAGTGTTTGTCCCAGAAAAAGCATCACAAATGAAAGTCTTTGTTAAATATCGCATAGTTCCTTCCTTTGTTATCAAATCTTGACCTTCATGGTGACTTCAAAACCTTAGTGTTTTCCTGTCTGAAAATTCTTCCTTTTCAGGAATGTTCTATGAACTAGAGAGAAATAAAAGAGCTTTTTTTTTTCTATGTCTTGGGCAGATGAGAATCATAGTACCACAAAGAGAAATATAGCTTTAAATCATTCAAAGGCCATGAGAGATTTTCATGAACATAAAAGAAACAAAAGAAATACAAAGAGAGAAGACCAGAAAACCTGATTGTTAAGGGTGAAAGAATCTTAGACCTTTGCATTATTACAAGGTTTCCAGAGCAACTGGACAATTTTATTGAGGATAATTATTTCCTGTATGACTGAATTAATTATTTTAAAACCATGTAGTATTGCAAAATATATTAGGTTCCAAATGTGCTCTCGCACATCATCTTTCTGTTTCCACTAGGTAGCTTGAGCACATAGAAGTTGAGAATTCTCACACATTTCATATTTTATATGTAATGAACAGGACTAAAATGTATATTTCTTAACTTCTATCCCCAGGCATTTTTTACCTGAGTCAAAAGGAAATAGTGGTCCCAGGACAATATAAAATGTCTTTATTGTTTATCTCTGAAGATGTACCATATGTGTGTGTGTGTGTGTGTGTGTGTGTGTATCAATGATATTTTGATCAGACATGTTTTAAAAATGGGAAGTGTAAAGGAGAATAACTGATTTTTATTTGGAAAATAAATATAGGTGGTTGATAGTAATGCACATGCTTCAGTCTTGAAAAATCAAACAATGAGACTTCACATATTAGATAGAAAGTGGGACTTCTGTGAAAAATGAGAATTTTGAAAGGATTACCATAACAATGAAACTTCAGTTCAGTAACATTCCTATCAAGTAATGTGTACCAGTTAAAATGTTAAAAATACATATATCTATATCTAGCTCACAGAAATACTTAAAAACACACAGTCAGGATATCAAGTGTTAAGTTTGATGGGAAATTGGAATTGTGCTGCACACTATTTAGAGGAGCTTATGGAAATTTTGAGATAAGTTATCTAGAAGAACTTCATGCATACGTAAATAAATATTGTCATGAAAATTGACAGGAAAATCCAACCATCAAGTTAAAGATAGGTGCTGTCTTTGGAGACTAGGTGTCCAGGAGTTGAGAATCATGCTTAGAAAACAAAACCTCAACCTTCAAAATCAGTATCTAAAATGATGACAAATATGTATTATGAAACAAATATTCCTAAATGTTTATATTTTGAAATCAGTATTCCGTTTTCTTGACAGTAAGCTCATGGACTATTATGACACTTATAAATAACACTTTGAAATAATAATTTCTATTTAAGGTAGTGGTTCTTAATCCTGGTTTAAAAAAATACCAAGAATTCCTCATACAGAACAGTCCGAACTACAAAGGTAATTACATTGATTTATGAAATTGAAAACCACTAGTTAAAATTTAATAATTTTGAGGGATCCTCTTCCAGCCAGTGCCCAGGCCCAGTGTGTCGGGGGGGGCCCACCTGCCACTAGAACCTCCTCGGTTTGATAGGTCTGATGTGGAACCCTGCTGCAGAACTCCATGCAGAGAGGATATGGGCCAGATCTTCCCAGATAATCCAGGAGCATAGCACTTTACCAGAGGGGATCAGTGGACGTGAACTTCCACAGGCTGCAGCAGGAAGAAGTGGAGCACAGCAGCCAGACCCAAGACAGGCCCACCTGGATGTGCTTGAAGTTGGTAGATCCAGACCAGGTAAGCTGAGACACTTTGACCCAGATCTATGACAGCATGCTCTCTCTTTCTCTCTTGATCAAGAAAGGGGGCAATACATAACCAGGGTGAACTAGTCTGCCTAGAAAACCCCATATCCATTAAGGGTAGGTGATCAGACAGAATTAAGGGGAACCAATTTAAATATAAATTCCCAATTTAATATGTGCTTAGTTATACAGCCATAATGTTTTTTCTTATGGTCTAAAATATAAACCGATTAGTTGAATTGTAATAATTTTGAAAATGAATTTCTCCATATACTTCTATGAGTTTGACAAATATCATACCAGTTTCCATAAGTAGAATTTATACATGTGTATTTAAAGTAGTTCCTGTAGCGAGGTATGGTGGTGCATGCCTGTAATCGCAGCATTTGGGAGGCTGAGTCAGGAGGATCGTTGCAAGTACAAAACCAGCCTGGGCTACAAAGTGAGCTCAAAAATAGCCTGAACTGCACAGCAAGACTGTCTCAAAAGGACAAAAATAAAAATAAAAATAGTTCTTGTACTTTTCTTTTGTCTTTGCTTTTTTCCCCAATTAAGTCATAGTGAGGCCTGACATAGTAACAAATCTCAGTCGTCTTTAAGTAGCAGAAATAAAAGAATTATAATCCAGGTATCCAGAAGATTGGTGTACATCTATTAACATATCACATAAAAGGGCTGTGGAGATAGCTCAGCAGTCTAAGCACCTTCCTGGAAAGCACAAGGACCCAGGTTCAATCCCTGGTACTGCATGTCAGGCTGCCCTATAACTCCAGATGTGCTGTGCTAGCCACCAAACCTGAGCATGGTGACACATGCCTGTAGTCCCAGTGCTAGGGAGGCTGAGACAAGAGAATCACTACAAGTCTGAGATGCATAGCAAGACCCTCTACCAAATAAATAAATGAAAGATTTTTTAAAAGGTCAGGGGAAGACATCACATTAAGGTTGGCACTGAAATCTAGGTTTTGGAGGGTTTGAGTGCTAATGTTCTTAACTCTAAATGTGAGTGTTTCCCACACCCAAAAGTTAACAATACCTGTTATTTAATAGTGTATTCAAGTGTTCACCAAAAATGGAATATATGTTCTTTAAGCTTTTTAAATGTTCTTCAAAAAAAAACTGAAGCTTTGTTAAAATAATATATAACTAAGGTTTTGAAGCATATTCCAACTTTTATTCATTTAATCTTTATTACAAACCAAGCAGTAGATCAGGTATCTGAGTTATATACAGCACTATATGTTCAGTAGTATGTTTGCAATGCATTATGTAGTTATACGTAATTGAGGGATTATAATATGAAAAAGAGTGAAGGATGAATTGTCATCAGGTCACTACAGAAAAGTGTTATCCCCCCAAACAAATAAGGGGAAGAATAATATTATTATTCATAAA